GGTATTTCTTCATTGGGGATTAAATCGTAATAAAACAGAGGGACAGCACTGGGTGGGAGTGGAAATAGTCCCATCATTTCCTGGTAGTCTCTTCGTCTCAAGCGGAATTTTTGCCTCTGGTTACTCTGCAGTTTCTCATGGCAGGAGAAACAGGTCCCAGTGCCTTCCAGGGCAAGAGTGTTTCCCCAGTTCAGATCCAAATGCAGTAAGGATGAGAGAAGGAATCAGAGGAGGGATCAGATGGGATGGCAGCCTCAATTGACTCCTCCTCCCGCTGCAGCAGTCCCAGCACTGGTTGCTCTTGGGACTATCTCCTTTCATGGGTGCTCCTTTCTCCAATTTGGTCTATGAATGGGAGCACTTGAAAAAACTCCACTTTTTCCTGAGAGCTCTTGTAGGTCCTGGATAGCAGGGAGTCCCAGGAAATAGGCTTTGTTGTTGCCCTGCTGATTGATCCTCCCAAAATGATTTTTACCCACAGCTGGGATGGAAACCTCCAAGCCCAGACTCCAGGACAGACTTGGCTTCCTTGGAACCAGAGAAATGTTTGCTGCTGGAGGCTGTTTGGTACATTTTGTTCCCTGTGGATTTCCTCCGTCTGCCTTAGCTGTGGGCTTTCAGTAGTGCTGGGGCCCTCTGGGCATATGGTCAGGAAGGATGGAGAGCTGCATAGTTTCTTTGAATACCAAGGCACTCCTCCCTGACAGTATTTCAGCAAAGTTCAAAGCAATAGCAGGAAAGTCCCCTTTTCCACAGGGATGTGGTGGCCTCTACTTTCCTCATCTGAGTGGCTTGAGGATAGACTGTGTTGGGGATTGACTTCCAACACAGTGTTTCAGAGGAGACTGGCTGTCCAGAGACTGGCTATCCAGAGAAGTGCGTATCTTCCTTCACCTGGGCTTCTTGCTGACCTGTCCAAGGCTCTCCCATGGACCCTGGCAGATGTCCAGCAATTACTTTTCTTGGATTTCTTAGTTTACTCCTAGTCTTTGCACTTCTCGGCTCTGCCACTTTCCAGGGTCTGGTAAAGCTTATCCAGAGAGTGCCTGAAGTTGCTGTGCCCAAGCTCCCACAGTGTCTTGGGAGCAGGGAAATGCACAGAGACAGTTCTAGGTGCCCTCCCTGCCCAGGGCAGCTTCCAGCAAGCCAGCCTCTCACATTACCTCCCTGCCTAGCACCTAGATTTTTGGCAAAAGGCAACTCACAGGGGAAGGCCACGTGCGGGGCAGAGCTGCGGTGAGCCCGGCTGCCACGTGAGTACCCCGAGGGGGAGGGGGAAGGTGTTGGGGTGGGGAGAGAGGGAAAGCTCATTAGCTTTTGGCACCCGTTTGGGGGAATTTGCTTTTAGAAAGCCTTTAGCCTCGGGGGAAGGTGCAGGCGGTTCCTTCCGCGGAGCTCTGCTGCCTGGGGGATCCCGGGCGCTGCGAGTGGGCCCTGCTCGCAGCCGCCCGGCCCAGCTGCCAGGGCTTGTTTGCAGCGGGTCAAGATGGCAGCTACCTCAGCGGGAGGGCGCACGGGGCGGGAGCGGGAGCCCGCAGGTGCTCCCAGGGCTCTGCTGGGGCAAGCGCCGGCCCTGCTGCTGTGGCGGGGCTGGTGAAGGGGTGCAGAGCTGAGGGCAGGAGGGCTGAGCCCTTGCCCTGCCATCCTTCCTCCTCCGCTGCACGTCACCGTGAGCAGGGCTGACCCCGACCGCCCCTGCGGCGCCCTGCTGAGCTCTCAAAGGACGGAATTACGAGAGGGCAAAGGGTCTGCTCCTGACACGGGCAGCATGTGCTCCTGCCTCGCAGTTCCTGTCACCAGCCTGTCACCGGGGATTAATGTTTGCTTCTCTGTCAGCATTAAACCTGGGTCTGGCCCGTGCCTGTTGTGACAGGACTAATCAGTTCAGCCTTGGCCTTTTCTGCTGGGCAGAGCTGCGAAGGAGGAGGCCGCCCTCCTCCCACGCCTTTCTTCTTAGTTAAGCCTTAATTTAATAGCAGTGAAAGGGACACGCGAGTGCAGATTAGTGGTCACCCTCCCTGTCCTTTCTGCAGATAGGAGAGGCACAGGCTAGCCCTCCTCTCCGTAGCATATGTGCATGCTTCAGTTTATACATATCCATGCTATACTCTGCCCTGGGAGAAAGGCAGCCCTTGCAGAGGCGGGAAGGGGGCTCAGTGCAAGGCCCAGTTAAGCTTGAGTGTCCAGGCAAATAAACTGGTGAATCCTCCCCTGGAATCTGTCACTGGAGTCTGTTTTTATTTGTCCAAGGACTTTGTAAAAGAATAAGTAAAATTATGGATGTGGGGAACAAGGCAGTGCCTAACCTCCAGCAAATGGACTGAGTGGATAAAAGGGGGAAGAAGAAAGCACTTACCTCCCCAGGTTTAGAGTGAGAACCAGGCCTAGCACCTTCAGAGAGACCATGAGGAATAAGTCTGATTTGCTGAACCTGCAGCAAAAGATGTCCTCTATGAGGCGATAGGGAAATTTCCAAATAGTGGCTGTGCAGCCAAAGTGACTGGAGAAAAAAAGAAAAAGAAGAAGGAGGAGCTGAGGGCGCAGGCCTGGGACTGAGAGCGTCTCTAGGTCTTGCCCACTGCCAGCAATAAGTGGAGTGGTGCTGGAGAAGTTTGAATGCCCCATCACTGCTGGCTGGCACAGGTAGCCACACAGGGAGATCCAAAGAAAAGGCACTGAACACAGCCCTGGCCTCTAGCATTTAAATGGGTATTCCTGGAGTATAGCGCGCTCTATCACATTCAACACACCTTTCTGTTTGCAACCAATTTAGGGCCAGTACAAGTGGATTGTGGCTGGTCAAGTGTGTGAAAAAATGTGCTCCTAAGGACTCAGTGGGCTTGTGAGTGATGAAGTGGAGCTGCTCAGACCTCTGCCAACGTGGGCTTACAATATTAATAAATAACGATCTGATCTGATAACAGTGCAGACAGCACAAATGATGCAGTCTGTGGCCGTGCCTGCAGTTTTCCATGCTGACACAGGGCCAACACTTCAACTCCAGTCACTAAACCTGCTCAGGTGCTTGTCATTGGCAGGAACACAAGAGAAGACGGACTCCCCACCGCTGTGACTCTACTCCATAGCCTGGTTTGTGCTTCCCCCAGCTTTGAAGTCAAGGCAGCAGTGATGCCTCCTACTAATGATGCTGCTCAAGAATTTCTCCTGGGTGGAAGCTTGATTTTCAGGGATTATGAGTCAGGGAAGATATACAGCATTGGCAGGGGGCTTTGTGGATGGGTGAACACAAGTTGAGAGATGCTCAACTTGTGCTCTTAGTTCTCTAAGGAAATAACTTGTAAATGTCCATTGGCAGTCCATAATTAGAAATGCTAAGTGACAATTTCACGTCTCCTTTCAGCAAATTCCTTCCTTTCCTGAAGTAACAAATGTCAGTTGCTGCTGCAGCTACTGAGAAGCTCAGAGGTGCCACCAGGAGTGCGGCCAGGAGCATGCACAAGATGCCTCCTCTCTTGAACCAGGATCAACCAGCTTTAAAGACAGCTCTGAGCCTGGGGCAAGAATAGGTTGTCCCGCTGCACCTGGCGCTGGGCAGTTACAGTATTCCCATTCCCTTTGCCTTGCCAGCGAGCAACTGAGCCTTGGCGAAGGCCGCCAATCACCAGCCTTTGATGGGGAGCAGGCACAGGGATACTTGAAGGCAGTAGCTGCTCTCCAAAGCGTTAGCAGTGCTTGGCAGCATGGACTAACGCCACTCTCTTTGCCAAGAAGATGCCAGGAAAGCCCAGGAGCCTCCTGGCAGCAGGCTGAGTGCAGGAGCAGAAGACGTGGCTGTGCTTCCCTCCTTTCAAGCAGCCAGAACGCACTTATCTTCGAGACACTCTGCTCTCTCCAGCTCTGGGCAAGCAAAGGAGGCTGCAGGGGAGTATTCACCCCAAAATGGTTTAACCGCTGGTCATTAGCACAGACTCACTCTTCTCTTACGGTCTGAGGTGTGCGGAGGAAGCAAACCACAAAAGGGAAATCCCAAAGGGGGTTAATTCAATTGTGTCATAGTTAAGAATTTTACCAAAGCCTCTATCTTGTGATTCCTGAGCCCAACTACATTCGGATCCAGATCACAAAATTCCCCCAGCTATTCTGAAAACCACAACCACCCAGCCCAGCTAGGTAATTCCTTCTTCTTGGTTTCTGTTGGATTCAATCAAACACATTTAATTACGGTACCAAACAGAAACACAGAGGCATTGGGTTTGAGTAAAACTTTTCTGTAGCTTTACTAGCAGGAGGGGTTGTGCCTGCTCAAGATCTTACTTAATCAGGCTGTTTTCAGAGTATTTGCAGGGTGCATGAACGCGCTTGCATTAAATCATCCCTTGGGGAGGTGACTGCTGGATTTCTGATACAACTTTGTGTCGCTTCCAAAGAGAAATTCTGCGTTCTGGGAACCACGCATAAAGAAATGTGCATAAAGAAGTCTCTTTCATTAGAAAGATGCCTTATGTTGTTCTCAGCGTTAACTTAGGAGGGGCAGAATATAAGTGCCATAGCACATACAAAAATAGTCACTACCAGCGCCTCAGCAAGCTGAAAAGCCAGCAGGCAGATGCAAACTACATCTGTGCGTCTCCCTGGGACGGGCTGGCGGCTCGAGCTGCTCTTTGCAGAGCCTCCTGAGGACCCTCCAAAGCATCCGCTCGCTGCCGTGTCGTGTTGGCGGCGCACGCGCAAGCCCCTGGCTGCGCGTGCACCTTTTCTCTTTCCGCGGCGTGCGTATTTGTTACAACACCTTGGGAAGGAAAAGGGTGCTGCCTTCGCAAAGTTAGATAACTGGCCCACTTCTCTGCAGCCGGATTGGCTGCGAGGGGCCCTGTAAAGCCGCGCTGGCCGCCGGCCCGGCCCAGCCCTGTGAGGCTGCAAGCGATTTCCACAATTGGCCACTTCAGAGTGGCAGCGGGGGAGGCGAAGGCAGCTGGGCAAGCTGCATCTCCAGGCTGCTCCCCTGCCTGCTCCGCGCTTCTCACACGGAGTTGTTTGGCCAGCGTGCTCCGGGCACCTCCGAGCCCGTCTCGGGAAAGCTCCCAGGAAAGCCCCCAGGGCGGCCGGGCACCTGGCCCTCCCTCGGCGCTCCTGGTGCCGTCCGGGCACGGGCCATGTCCAGCTGCAACAGCCCCGGGGGCCCCGCTGCCCTGGATTTTCCCGAAGTCCTCAAGTCCCTGCTGGAGTACTCCTTGCCCTGGACCAACAAAATGACAGGTAGGACTGAAGTAACACACGCCTGCTTGCTTATTTATTTATTTATTTATTACTCCTTCCCTCCCTTAACTTGCAAGGCAGGCCAGGGGCCAGAGAGTTTGTTGCTGCAAGCCTTTGCAGGCTGTGCTCCTTCCACGAATCCCAGTGAGATGGGAGCGCTGGCACTAAACATGTTGTGCTGCTAGCAGGGGAAATGGCAGCAATGGATTGATTACAAAATCAGTCGAGAGTGCTGAGCTCCTGATCCTCTTAATCTCTGCACTCAGCTACTTCCTGGAAACCCTCGGAGCTCTGTGCACAGAGGTCTGGGCACGGATCGCTGTGCTTGCATAGCACGATGCCCAGCCAGGCTGTCCCTTGGTTGAGAACTTTTGGTCTTCCAGACGCTGCCACCCCCTGCACGTGGACTGTCAAGGGAATCGGGGCCACGTGGGGCAGGGTGGCTCCACGCATGCTTTGAGTTGGATGCTCCAGCTGTCTACTGGGAAAGCTGGGGTAGGGAACAAAACCAATGTCGTGGAGCTTCTTTTGCAAGAGCATTTAAGTCTTCCAAAGTTTTTTGCTCTCAGAGCAGTGCTGTGCAAACAATTGGAAATCACCTTAGAGGTTATTTAGCCTGGGTTTCTGCCTGGGCACATCTCTCTTGCCAGGTGTGCCTGGAGTGCCCCTCATACACAACCTCGGGCTCACTTGGTTCTGGTAGGGTGCCGTGTGCCCTGTGCGGGCTGCTTTTGCCTGTTGCATTTCAACGTGTGCTGCAGAGCGCTGCAGGGGCGTGTGGGAGCCCCCTGGCACCGGTTCCTGCCTAGGCACAGGCGAGCAGGGCTCGTAGGAGTGGATGTGCCCCGAGCTCAGTCCCGCGGGCACTGCCAGCCTGGGCACAACCCCGGAGCTGGGCACAGAACAGCTCATGGGGAAGAGGAGCCCCTGCTTTTGCCCTGGGGTTCGCAGTAGAGAAGGATGCTGCTGTGGTGGCAAAGTGTTGATGCCAGGAAAAGGAGCTGCCTAGACGCAGTAAAACAGAGCAAGCTCGTGGCACTGGCGTGACTCTCTATGGGAAAAGGGTTATTAAGCCATGGGTAGGTCCCTATACTGCCTAAGGGGCTGACTTTGTCACATTGCTGTGACCTGTGCATTGGCTTCCTTCCCTGCTGGGACTTTGCACATGAATTGGGCTGTTTGCATGTCATGCCGTATGAAGCTGGGTGCCCGAGCAGAGCACGTTTTCAGAGGTGAAGGATACCCAGGTGGGAAGCTGAGCTGCCTGGAGGAAGCAGGAAGGAGCAAGGCAGGCTCATGTCGTGCAGAGCCTTGCTGCGGCTAAGTGCAATTGGGTTGGCTCTCCTGGACTCCTGGTCTCCAGAGCCCAGTAGGTTGAGTTAATCCAAGGAAGGAGCACTGGCAAGATTTACCTGTTGGCACTGCTTATGGAGGGGGGGAAGGAGGAGGATGTCAAGGAAATGGATATCGATGGTTTGCAGAGGGACTGAGCATGGCTTTTTGGTAGCTTTTGCCCTCAGCACCAGGACCACTCTGGCCCTCAGCCTCACTCCTGTAACCCTGCAGAGTCATCTTTATTCTGCAGCCTCCCTCTCAGTGCTCCCGTGGCAGCCCCCTTCACACGGAGCGCAGATCCTCCTTTCTAGGACTTCATACCCGCATGAGCCGTCTGGATTTGCTGGGTCTCTGGTCTCCATCTGACATGCATTATTCTAACCAAAAAAGCCTCCCAGTGAGAGTAGCTGTATGTGTCCCCCAGTGCCTAGGGCTGAGCTGCCTTTTGCTTTGGAGCTGGGCTGTTCTGCATCATCTGGCCTTGACAAAACTCCCGGCAGTGACAGCCAGGGTCGCTGCATTCCTCTCCTCACATCTCATTGTCTTCCTTTCCTCCTCGCCCTCAGAGTAAAATAATAATTAAAAAAAAAGGGGGGGTGGGGAGAAATCTTAAGCAAAGTCCAGCTCAACCAAGAAGGTGCAGTTGATGCTGCAGTGCCCACTTTGTGCTGGCACCGACTTGAACACTTAATCCCTGGAGGCATCAAGGCAAAGCTCTCGGCACCAGCTCCCTGCCTGCTGGCAGGCAGAGCTCTTGCCCGGGCAGGGTGTTGTGAGCGGCGAACCGCATGAATGCTCCAGGAATGCTCCCCAGGAACTCCCGCCTTGGAGCCAAGCAACCAGCGCTGTGCAAGCTAAACCCTCTCCAGGGAGTCACCTCGCAGCACTGCTGCAAAGTGAACCCTCGTGTTCAGCACCACTGAGTGGAAACGAGCAGGAGAAAGGGGAGGGAAAAGCCCTGGAGGTGAAGGCTGCAATAACCTCCCCTCGTGTGGGTGCTTTCCAGCAACGCAGTTGCTGTTTAGCTCTATGATGAGCTGGGGGAAGCACACGCAGGCTGTTCCTTGAAGGAGCTGGGTAGGGAACGGGAGTCCGTGTTACCCTCGGGGGCCTCCAGCTTCAGCAACAATGGAACAAAGTGACCACAAGAGCCACAACTGAATGGGGAGCCTGAAGCCAGCCCCACTGGGGCAAAGGCCCCTCTCCCGCTTCCTAGAAGCTGCTGCCTCTTGGCTTCAGGAGGTTGTTTTGCCATCATGGAGCAGCCCCTTGCCAAGCTCTGTGTGCTGCCTCTGCCCTGTGTGGTCTGGCATCGGGGCTTCCCGGCCCCACGTGGCACCCCCGTTCCACGTACGTGCCTCCTCCTCCTGCCCCAGTGCAAGGCCAGACGCATCCAGGGAGGGCAAGCGGCCACCAGAAGCGCGAGCTGCCTGAGCGCTTCTTGTATCTGGGCTCGCCGAATCCAACCCCTCGCAAAGATGTGTTGGCCCAGGCCGTTCCAACTCCCTGCAGCTCTATCTGCGGGGCTGTTTGCAGCTCGATGGCTGACACAGGAGCAGTGTCTCCGGTCCCACTGCTGCCCGTGTATGGCAGCGGCTTCTGCCTCCAGGCTGCACAGGGAGGACGGGCAGTCGGCTGTTAGCAAGTGCACCTTCCCTGGACACCCTCCCCGTCTGCCCCCAAGGGAAAGGCGGTGCATGAGGGCCCGTGCTGGGCCATGCTGCAATAGAATACAGAGGAAGGCACCTGGTCCCCATGGGCTCCTTTTCGTGGGCTGCATGAGGGGGAACGCGGTTCTGTGCCACCACAGAGCACCGGCATTTATCCCCAGTGCTGCTGAGGACTTGCTTGCCTGAACTCTGTGGAGAAGGAAAACCCCAAACACCTGGGAAAGCCCCGATCTCCAGCACTGCGGTGCTGTGTGGGCCTCCAGGCCAAATCTTGTTGCGGACTGCAGCGGCCACGGGAAGCGCCTCCCTTCCCCTGCTAACGTTATATGGGGCACGGAGCTGCTGGGGCGGGAAGCAGGGCCCCGGGAGATTAAATCCAGGCCGTGCGGTAAAGGTGATCGCCACATCCAAACACGGGCATTTCAAAACCGTCGGGAGCGGCGGCC